AAGATTTCAAAGTTTGGCTTTCTTCCTAATAAGAACTAATTCACCAGGAAGGAAAATTCCACTTTTTTTTTTCATTTCAGGTCAATGGAAAAATTTTTTGACTTTGACTTTTGATTTGTACTATAATCCCAAATGGTCGTTTCACAACAAAGAGTTTCATTCTGATAGTGTCAAAATGGGACATTTCCCCATTGTCAGAACTTTCTCTCTCATTTTCCTCCAAAAAGTAGTTTGGGCAAAATCAACTCCATTCTGGAAACAATGCTGCCTCAATGGCATATGGTCCTGTCGGTGTTTCACTGACTAGTTCCACCAGGGAAATGTTCCTCAACTGTTGTAAGTAGCTGGGGGTAAGTGAGCACCAGGCAAGCACATTCTGAGTTTTCCCTTGTCTCTATCCATAAGTAGTGTAACACCTTAGCTGCATAGGGCTGGGTGACTGTATTCAATTCTTAACGTGAGGAGAGGATCATGCAGAAAAGAATGAGACAGCTCCTGCCCAACCAAATGGAGGAAGAGTTTTTGTTCCAGCCTCCTAGTGGGGCAGAGGAACATTTGTTGTTTGAGCAGCCTTGCAGTGTCTCATCGCTGTTGCTTTGATAGAATCAGACATCTTGACTGCCCCGCATGCACCCCAGAGTTCTGTGTTCCAAACAAAGTTATGTGCCTCCCCTTTTATTTTTGAAAGTTGTTTACATCCCAAACAAAGGTTCATGGGCCTAAGGGTACAAAAACAGTTATTCACATTAAACAAGTAATTCCATAGCCCTTTCTATTTCCTGCATGAGTAATTTCTGTCTCTCCTCTTTCTGGGTCTTTGCACACAAGTCATCCCACATTTGGGTCTCAACAGGTTGAGAGGTATGCACAAGATTAGATTTTTAAATCTTCACACACACATCTTTTCTATGCAATGTTCTCATTCTCCAGTTTATTCTCTGTCAGCCACACAGCCAACCCAGGGCAATTTCTATTTCACAGTGGACTAACTGCATTGTTGCCCTTTTTAAAAATTCCCAACATCAGTTTAAGCTCAACAAAAAGACACACCCCTAGATGATACTGAGTTACTACGGCCCTGATCCAAAGCACAGCATTGAAGTACTTGCTTCACTTTGAAGTTAACAGAACTATTCACATACTTAAAAAGCTAAGCGTGTTCTTAGATGCTTTGCTGGGTTGAGGCCTGAGTGTTAAACACCTAGCAGGATCTAGATAAGAAATATTATTCTTCTAGGACAGGTCCTCTGCTCTAAAAGACAGTTGCTTCTGCTTAGCAGTACTCTATAAAACAGTAGTTTTCTACCAGTGGTACACCCCTGCAGACATCTTTCAAAGAGTGCATCAACTTATCTAGATATTTCCCTAGTTTTACAACAGACTACATAAAAATCGCTAGTGAAAATCAGCACAAACTTTGATACAATGACATGTTTATGCTGATTTATATACTATACACTGAAATGTAAATATAATATTTAAATTCTAATTGATTTATTTTAGAATTATATATTAAGCATGAGAAGTAAGCAGTTTTTCAGTAGTAGTGTGCGGTGACACTTATGACTTGATTTTGTAAGCAAGAAGTTTTTAAGTGAGGTGTAATTTGGTACACAAGACAAATAAGACTCAGGACTACAGTATTCTGGAAAGGCGGAAAGCCACTGCTATAAAAGAAAACTAGATCTTGATTTGGAGCTATATAACCATCTCAGCGGACTAAATAACACAACTCATGATTAACAGGATTCAGAAAATTTCATCTTGAGGTGGAGATCACCAGTTCAAATATGCAACAGATAAGTAGAAACCAAGTGTCATGATCACACAAACTGTTCAGTGAATCAGATAAGATGAAGCAATCTCCATTTAGTTTCTAGTGGACAACTGTCCACATTCTAATTAATAATAATTTGCAATCTCAGAGGGCCCATTTGGACATGTTAGCTCAATTTCCTTCTTGTCGTCAGAGATGATCTGACTGGGTCATGGTTGAGGCCAATTGTTAAGGTGAAGTGGAGAAGCTTGAATTACCACTGTCTACTCTGTAGTTGTTCTCCAGATAAAACCAAACACTTCCGTCTCCAGGGTTTTCAAGCAGGCTCTTCAATGAGCGCAACGTGCACTTAACATTAAAACAAGAAAGTGGCTATGGATACAGACGCCATAATATTTATTGTAATGAAAACCACAAATTTCATACATTTTAATCAGGCTCTTTTTGGGATCAGATGCTTGCAGTCGGGTCTGCTTTTGCGCTATCCCTTCCCCCCCCAAAAAAAAGATTACATTGGAACTCAACGCTTATGTCAATTTGGCTTAAATAATTACAGACATTATGATCCTACTAAGGAACGGTGGGGTCTTTTATTCTGTTGCATACAGACATTTTACAAAAGAAGCACCTAAAATATGAAAATACATCTCTAAAACATTTCTTTCTTTAAAAAGAGAAATTAACAGCACACTACCACAGCTATAAAACAAAACAGATATATACATTCAGCAAATAAGTTATCATCATGGTAAACTTTGTTCCACAGAAATACATTCTTATTGACAGGAATTCTCTTTACTATAAGCTGTCAGGTACAAAAATACATAAAGCTGATCCTGCATTCCTTGTACAGACAAGACCCTCACTAAAATCAATGGGAGTTTGCCAGCATAAGGTCTGTAGGACTGAACATTTATATACTCGTTGATAGAATTTTTCTCCCCTCTCCCTGGGAAAGTAGACTTATTGTAGAAATCATCTTGAATGAAACCAATAGTTCTCCTGTAACTTAAAGGCAGTACTGGTGTACACTACAATGTCAAATTCCTACCAAATTTCATTGATCACTCATATGTGGTTCATGTGAATAGCTCTAAAGCCATAGAGTTGCAGAACCGCAGAGATTCTTCATGTGACTAGCTCTAAAGCCATAGAGTTGCAGAACCGCAGAGATTCTTTAAAGTTCTGAGCTGCTCAAGTGATGCTTCCAGTGTGCTCAAAAAAGGTTCTGAGGCTTTCATTTAGTGCCACTCTAGAGAATTCAAAATCCAATTTAGAAAAGAAAGAAGAAAGATGAAAGGAATCACACTGCCCTGGTAACTACTGTGCTTACAGTTTAGGTGCATTTATCATAATATTTTTTAAAGCTGCAATTTTGCCTAATAAAAATAAACTGGGACCAATCTTTCAATTCCTGGATTTTAATGCAGCAAAGAAAATGGAGTCACGTCCAAACATCACAAAGAGAGAATTGCAAGCCAATTGCAAACATTTTAGCTTTGATTTCATGAGAGAAAAGTTTGGTTTATGTCCTATGCTTTGTAGTTTGTTAGCCAGAATGAGAATTAAATTTGCTTAAATTGCAAATATTAACACAGAGGGCTAACTGGGTTCTGAATATTTCTACAGAGCCCTCAACCCTTTTCCAAGGAAGACTGAAAATAAATAACATTGACCAGCTGGAGACAGGACTGTATTGCCCCCAAGAAAAATATATTGTGGAAGTTATTTGCCTGAGAAAATAAAAAATAGTTACTGCAGAAATCAAGGTAGAATAGCAGCATTTAAGTTCTCACCTGGCATTTAAATGCTCTACTATACCTTGGCAGATGTGATTCCGAGAATAAGAAGATGGATAGAAGAATACACATGTTCCCACTCAAGTGCTACATAGAACCAGTTATTCTCCCTAAAACATAATTAAAAGTACTCTCAGATGGCAAGAATCTCACAATATGCTAACAGAAATGCTGTGACGACACTGCTTCAGATGAGACATAAGTATGAAACTGATATTGGTTCAAGGAGAATGTATTATTAGTACCTAGCTATGATAAAATATTTAGCACAGAAAGTGAAAATCCTTGCTCTGTTGATGTCAACAGAAAAATTTCCATTAACTTAATTTGAGCTAGGATTTCAGCCATAGACGGTTACAGTTGCTTGAAGTCTTCAGCATAAGTGATGTTGCCCTTCAAATATTGTTATGTGAGAGATCATTCATAATAAGACAAGCAGAGTTAGCTCTCCAGGTAGTCAGTTCTAGTGCCATATGCAAAAGTGTACATGTAATCACTGTACATACACATAAATCAGGCACTTGTACACACAAGGGGCCAGGCGTCTTACCATTTCTGTTGAAATACCCAGTTTGCACATGCAAGCCTGAACATTGCATGGAAAAGCATACAATATCACTCTTGTACATCCATGAACGTTTGTATAATTTAAAAGTGAGGGCCAGATTTTAAAATGGCTGATGTACATGCTGGCTACGTCTTGTTAACATTATATTCTATTAAATATTTAGGGTGGGATTTTCACAAGCATCTAAAATGATTTAGGAGCACAAGCTCCCTTGGATAGCTATAAGAAATGTGCTCTTGCACTATATTTAGGCACTTGTAAATCCCACCCTACTGTTGTAATAAATACCTAGGCTTTCTGTGTGGATTAATTCATACATTTTGCACAGGGGCCTGACAGAGTAATTGTGTATTGGAAGTGGAACACATTTTTCCACTTCAACATTTGTCTTCTTTCAATAAACAAAACTCTCTTGTAGGTCGAGTACAAAAGATTAGTGGGAATGCCATTATTATTTCTTCAGAATTCTGTCATTACTGGAACAAGGAATAATGGAATAGTAAGACCAGAATTCCAAACAGACTGCAGTTTTTTTAAGCTCTCAAAAATGATAAATTTTATAAACAAATACACCAATTCTTGCAGGTAAACAAGGAGACACGGGTGGAAGAACTGGTATAAATATGACTTCCTATGCTCAGATGTTAGGGAAGAAATACAGCTTCCCGTAAAAACATTTCATAGATCTAAGAGCTGCCTTGAGTCAGTGACATGGGATACAGAGTCAACTGACACCCTGCAATCTTCATAAGGAACAATTACTTGGGAAAAGAGAAATAACGGGGCAAATATTATCCGAGTTCCCTTCAGTTCCTGTGCTTATAAAAATACATTTTCCCT